AGCCGCCTGCCCCGCCCACCAGGTCCCGGGGGTTGCTGGGGCTCTGTCCGGTCTCGGGGTCCCAGCGGCTCCTCTGGAAGGGCAGCACCACGTCCCCGTTCTGGTCGCGATCGAACACGGGGTCTCCGGGCGGGATGTGGATGTTGAGGAACTCGGCCGGGCAACCAGGCTTTTCCACGCTCACCAGGTCTGAGAGCACGTGGTAGCCTGCGGGCGTCGGGGGCAAACTGGTGAGAATTGCTACTCCCCACCGCCAAGGCTGACGCCAATTTCTGAAGAGCCCAAAGGCAGATGTTCCAAGGCAAGTTCCGCGCCACCAGCTCTAAAACTTTTTTCTAATTTGCAAAGTGGGGTTATAGTACCCTCCTCTCCCACCCCATAATGTTGTTGGGAGAATCAAAATAATATAATTAATGTAAGGGCTCCCCCAAGCCAGTCCCCATCTCCTAACAGATCCTGCCTCTCCCTCCCGCTTCGGGGGAAAGAAGATATAATCACAACAGGAGAGGGGCGGCAAGGGAATCAGCTTCTAAGAGCTATAATGAGGGTTAGTGGCACTCCTGGGTTTGTAGTCAGTGATAAGAGAAAGATTAGGAGAGCAAATACCCCCGAATCAACACTCCCAAATCCCTCCAAGAGGAAGAAGGGCTTGAAGGGAGGCTTGGTGGGGAGATGAAGTGGTTCAGGGTCTTGTATTCGGTCTTGGTTCGGTCTCCTGTGGACTTGCAGAGAGGCCTCAGGGCCCCTCTCCCCAGGCTCTGAGCTGAGCGCCAGGTCAACCCTCACCGAAGACGCGTTCTCCCACTTTGCTCTCACCAAAGAAGACCCCCAGCACTGTGCGATTGCGGCCGGATGCCTGCCCGGCTGTGCCCCGCATGGCGGCGTTGCTGAGTCGGCGCGGGTTGGGTAGCAGCGGCTCCCCCAGAGCCTGATACACGCCGTCCGCGTAATTAGCTGGTACAAGGCGCCGCAGTCGGGAGCCTGTGGGAAGCAGGGAGCCGGGCTCTGTCTGAGCACTCCGTCTCCGACAAGCCCACGAACCTCGCTCTACTCCTCCCTCCAACTCCCCACTCCCGCTGACGAGACTCCTTCTTCTGTCCCCAGGGGTGTATAGGAATTCGCGGTGCAGGCAGCCGGGCGGCTGGCGGCGCGCTCTCTCGGCTTCTCCGCGCCGGGTCTCCCGCGACCCTGCCCTCTACTAGCCGTTCCCCACCCCAGACCACGGGACGCACCGGCAGCGCCACGCTCGTGGTGCCTCAGGTTGTTGAACCAGCCGTCATAGCGCTGCACTTCCCAGGTCAGCGAGAGTGAGTCCTGGCCTCCTGTGGGTCAGAGGGTGGTCCACTCAGTGCTAGCCTCCCTGCAACCCCTCTGGGACCCGACGGCCTCGGCCCGTGCTTCTCCAGCCCGCCCAGCGCCTCCGACCCGACCCAAGTGGCGATACTCGCGCGGCGTCTAGGCTGCGCCAGGAAGTCTCCCATCTGGCTGAGCCGCTCAGCCATCTCACCTCATCTTCCTGCCTCAGGAAGCCGCTTGCCTGCACGTCTCCCTTCCCCAACTCCCAAGGGAAACTGGGAGACATCCCGAACTAGGGGCGTCTGGTACTTACCCGCTGGGTCCAGGAGTGCAGTCAGCAGAGCTCCCAGGAGCACCAGGGCCTCTGGCCTTGCACGGAGCATGCTGACCCTGCGGCCAAGGGGGTGGGAGGTGGTACGTGAGGGACACGGAGCAGGCGTCCCCCAAACCGACAGTTGGCACAGGAGGTGGAGACGCCAGCTGTGTCCACTTCTGGAGCGAAGCTTTTAGAAACGTCGCCAAGTACCCGCACCTGCGGGGCACTTTTTTAAAGGCACAAGCAGCCCTCGAGGCAGTGACACTGGTCCCCACCCTCCACCCCGTGGAAGAGCTAACCCCGATCACACACAGGAACCCGGGAGGCACAAATCCTCTGGGGCTTGTCAGTCCCTGGCAGGACTTTACCTCCAGCCTCCCAGGTCCCGAACAAAGCCTTGAGTCCTACCCCTCAGGAACTGCTTCTCCTAGAGAAGGCAGGGAAAGGAACGTGGCTAGTGAGCTGGGAATCTGCAAACTGCAGTCCCTCATACCCCTCAGTGAATGCCTGTGCATGGACACGAGGGATGGGAAGATCAGGTCCCAAGTCCCACTCAAACCTCTGGCTTAGGGCCCCCATCGGGCTCAGAAGTCTTCTTTTCCTTGGAATCTTTGCTTCTCTGCTCTGCTCTCTGCCTCTCCCCCACCACTCCTCCCCAGCCCCGCAGATCCTCAGCCTCCCCGGCTTCATTCTCACCCTCCTCTCTGGGTCCTCTGAGGCCAGCTGTGCAGGTGTCCACTCAGGCCAGACCAGCGCCAGATGTGAGCATCTGGACTGGGACTCACCCTCTTGCTATGCAGGCGGGGCTCCTCTCATTTGCATAGCAACCTCCGCCTCTTATTTGCAGAGCCCGCCCTCCCACCTACCTAACTCCGTCCCGGCCAACCCAGAGCGCCTGAGGGCAGCTAGCTGCTGCGCTTCCTTAGGCGCGAAGCCGAGGCACTCAGACTTGACTTGTCTATTGAGTCCAGTCCTCGCACGCAGGGAACGGGGTAAAGGGAAGTGGGATCCGGGCTCGGACGCCAGTGACCGCTCTCCCCGCTGGAACAGACCCAGCTCGGCCGGGTTGCAGCATGACTCTGTGGAACGGTGTGCTGCCCTTCTACCCTCAGCCCCGGCATGCCGCTGGCATCAGCGTCCCACTACTCATTGTCATTCTGGTGTTCTTGGCCTTGGCTGCCAGCTTCCTACTCATCTTACCCGGGATTCGTGGCCACTCGGTAAGGGGGTACTAGAGGCTTAGGTCTGGGGGTGGAGGGCATCAAGGACAGCATGTCTCTGGAGGATAGGACAGTTAAGACGGCGGCAAGATCTTCCATGCACTGAAGCGCTGAACCAGACAGGTGGAGCATAGCCAGAAGCCTGGCCCAGCAAGCACCCCTTCCCAAGGTTAGGGAGAGGGTCCCATACAAGACATCCAGAGGCTGACCCCAGCTGGAACATTCAGGAGGCTGCTGCAGAGAGTGAGTGCCCAGTCCAGTAATCCTGGGGCCAATTCTAGTCTTCACGTGCTGCAGGGGTCTCCTGCCTCTCCTCAGGCTGCACCTCCACTCCCATCCCACTCCCATCCTGACCTCAGGTGATGACCTTCTGGCCAAGAGGACAGAAACCAGCAACTCATACTGCTGTGTTTCACCTGTGCACTGGGTTGAGTCATGTGTGTGGGAGCCCCCATCCTAATGACAGAGATTTCTCCACAGAAATTTCTTCGAAGTTGTAGCAGACTGGGCACTTTTTCTTAGATTCCCTCCTCTTCCAGAATCTAAGTTGTCTGTTTTTCAAGTCTAGGAGGACCTAGCCTCCCTGAGTCTTGTGTTGGTTTTCTGGGAAACTGGCACACCTAGTAATATCTGAGAGGTTGTGTTCGCACCTCCTCTACTTGGTGACCAGACCTTGAGGCCTCCCTCTCCTGAGGGAGGTGACCGCTGCCTGCCTAGCACTTCTGGACTCACTGAGCCTCATCATGGCAGTGACCCAAGCAGGAGGTGGGACCAGGGCTGGAGAGGAAATGGGATGAAGGTGGTGGGGGAGCACCAGATAGAGACAGCCCAGTTGCAGGGTGGACTGGAAAATGGGGCTGGGAGGCAGAATCATGCAGCCAGAAAACATTAGAAAATGTCAGTGGCTCAGAGGGACTTGCATGACTTGACTTCAGCCTTTAAAGGTCAGAAATGTAACTGGGAAAAGTGGGCAAGAGAGGGAAGTTGCAGAAGCACTAAAGGCCCGGGTGGCATGGGGTCAATGGAGAGCTTGGGGACTCTGGTTGGGCAGTACCCAGGCCTGACCCGGTTCCTGTTCCTGCAGCGCTGGTTCTGGTTGGTGAGAGTTCTCCTCAGCCTGTTCATAGGAGCAGAAATTGTGGGTGAGTGTGTGATGCAGCGGAGGGGGAGAGGCCCAGGGGTGAGGAAGGAGGTGGCCTGAGGGCACCTGGGAAAATGGAGAACTGGGGATGGGTTCCCACTCCCTCTTCCCATTCTCTTTCTAGTGGGCTCCTTCTAGTGTCCACTCTTCCACCCTTACCGTGTATATCCCTTTGGACTCCTAGAACCCCCCCCCCGTGTCTGTGCAGTGTCCCAACTCCCATCACCACGCTCCCAATCCCATCTCCCCAATCTTCTCCCTAACCTTTCCCCTCCCCCACGGTTTGCCTCTCCCCACAGCGGTACACTTCAGCGCAGAATGGTCAGTGGGCAGAGTTAGCACCAATACATCCTACAAGGCCTTCAGTGCGGCACGCGTCCGAGCCCACGTCGGTCTGCACGTGGGCCTGGAGGGCGTTAATGTTACACTCACAGGTGAGGAGCTGCGGCGAAGTGAACTCCTGAGGTTGGCAGACACCATGGTTGCGGGTGTGTGGCAGGCAGGGGCAGCTGGAGGACCTGTGAGGACAGCTCCCACAAGCTCATATAGAATAGCTTTTGGCTCTCATTGGTTTGTGTTTTCCCCAACCGCTGCCAAACCTATTTCTCTCAAGATTCTCACTTTCCTATCCGAATCCCGCTTAGTTGCCCGGTCCTCGCTGTACGCAGCCGGGTGACGCCGCCGTCCTCCGCAGGGAACCCAGTGCAGCAGTTGAACGAGACCATCAACTACAACGAGCAGTTCATTTGGCGGATCGGCGAAAACTATGCTGGGGCGTACACGGAGGCACTGCAGAAGGGGCTGCCGGATCCAGTTCTCTATCTGGCGGAGAAGTTCACTCCGAGCAGCCCCTGCGGGGTTTATAGCCAATACCGCTTGGCGGGACACTACGCCTCGGCCACGCTGTGGTGAGCGCGGAAAGAAGACACTTTGCGTACTTGCGCGCGCGCGTGCGTGTGTGTGGCGGGGGTCCGGGTGGGGGCATGTGAGCCGGAGGATGTGAGCTACAGTTACAGCCCGACGCGCTTGGGGTGAGAGTTGCCGCCTCGCGGGCCGATGGTCACGAGGTCCGTACAGACCGTGGGAATCCGAAGAGACCCAGCAATGGCTGGGCGCCGGCTACTCCCCTCCAGTGTTTCCCTGCGCCTCCGCCATCCCAGCCCCGGGCTTTTGTTCTGGGGCCGGGAGGTAGGGGAGGCGAGCCCGTGGGAACCCGAGCGGGCTGGGGGAATCCGGCTCACAGCTCCGCTGGTCCCCTCCCCGCAGGGTGGCGTTCTGCTTCTGGCTCCTCTCCAACGTGCTGCTCTCCATGCCGGTCCCGCACTACGGAGGCCTGGCTCTCCTGATCACCGGCGCCTTCACACTCTTCTCCGTCTTCGCCTTCGCCTCCATCTCCAGCGTGCCTCTCTGCCAGCTCCGCCTTGGCTCCTCCGAGCTCACCACTCACTACGGCGCCGCCTTTTGGATCACGCTGGCCACGGGTGAGGACCGAGGGAACCGGCCCCCGGGTGTCTGGGGGCAGAGACGAGATTTATCCTAGCGTGCGCTTTCCGGTTTGCATAATAAGTTCACATACATTATCTAATTTGCCCCTCTCAGTAGTTCGTAGAGGCAGGCACTCTTGTGCCTATTTTATAGAGGAGGGGAAGGGAGTTCGGAAGGGTTCGGTATCTTGCCCCAGTGGCGTGCGAACCCGTGTATCATGTATGCCATATTAGAGGTCTTTCCGTGGTGCGTGTGTCTGGGGAAGAAACGCAAATACCTCCAATAGATGGAGTCGGGCGGCCGGGTTCTAGAGCTCTGACCGCCCTCTTTACCCGCGACTGCGCTAATGCAGGCATCCTGTGCCTCCTCCTCGGAGTCGCGGTGCTGAGTCTCCACTACACTCGGACCAGCGCTCTTCACACCTTCTTGGATGGAAGCGTCAAGGGCCTCGAAAGTCAAGCGAAAGGGAGCTCTCCTCTCATCCTCAACAACCCACTGCATAAGCAGTTCTGGGGCTCAGACCTAACCATCAGTACTAACCTGTGAAAGGGACTCAACCTCGGACTCCTACTCTGCCTTGGTCCCCCGGAGGCCGGGGAGCAGTGCCCACCGGGCCTGGGGAGCTCCGGGAGGGCACTGCGCTGGGGGCGAGGGGGGAAAGGGCCAGTGGCCTCAGATGTGCCGCCTGCACCCAGGAAAGAGTCTCCTAGGGTGAGCTGTGAATAAACTTTCTTCTTTTTTTCTATTTTTCTTAAAACTTTCTCCCATTATTTTCCATGGCTTTTCAAGGCTTTTCGGGATACGAGCTCTGGGGAGACTTCCCTGGATTGGAGGCAGCCTAGTACACTCTTTTTCTGCTTTGCCACAGACGCCGGATTCTCTGTGTCTGAAGAATGCAGAGTAACCCGGCAAAGGGTCTGGGAGAGGGTGCCCTCTAGTGAGCTCAGAGAAGAACAATCAGAGCCTGTATCTTCCTGAGCTACCCCAAGTGGATGGTAGCAGTGACCAGGCAGGTCATTCCCCCGCACCTCCACCCCCGCTGGCCCTGTGGGATCCCCCTCTGCTGGCCCAGCTGAGGGGGCTAAGAAGAAATGGCATTTTGGAGTTTATTCACTAGCTTCAGTTTATTCATTAAAGGGGTGGTGTCTGAGGGCCGAGGTAAATGTCAGCAAGGCATAAGGCTGTAAATCCCGGGATTTTTTGTTTGTTTGTTTTAGGTCCTTGGCAAGTCCTACAGTCTTATTCGGCAGGTTTGAGAACTGAAGCTCAGAGAGAATGGGACACAATTGGTTAATATTAGATCTAGAACAAGAAGTTTGGTCTCTCCTCCCTCGCAGTACGTTCATTGTACCAAGAGATCACACAAGCTGGGGAAGTGAAGGAAGAACAAAAGGGAGAACAAAAGAGAATAAAAAGGAAAACAAGAGATGCAGAGGGATGAGAGGGAACATGGGAGAATCGCACTGTAAGCCCCCTGTACACGTATGTCATCATGTGGGTGGAGCTGGGTTTCAGTAAATGGCACCTCGAAGAGGCAAAGCCCCAAGGGAGGGCAGGGTAGCTGGGCAGAAGGAGGGGCAGCCCCTGCTTGGTCTCATCACGCATGGCAGCAGGGTTTATGGCAGCCCCAACATCTGCCTTAGGGCTTTTTGTTTTGTTTCATGTTTTAACATCAATAGGTAGAGCCTCCTTTCCTACTCCACCTACACATTGGGGCTGGGAACCTGATACAACCAATCCTGCAGGCAGTTCTGGTGGTGTTTTGGGGGGTTCCCAGTGAAGTCTGGAGCCAGATTGGAAGTCCGGGTGGCCACCAGGGAGATGAACTTTCCAGGGCACAGTCAGACTCCTCACAGGGCACCTCAGAGGAAGCCTCTGACAGAGGAATGTCCTTAGGCTCGGGACTCTCAGCTGTGGACCTGTAGCGAGGGCTCAGGAGTCCCCCTTCCTCAGGATCCCGCCCAGGACAGGGTCCTCTCCCACAGTGGCTGAAGAAAGCCTGCAGCCTGTGGGCCACCACCGTGGCCAGGCCCAGCAGCACACAGAGCAGTCCTGGGGATGAGGCAACAAGTATCCCACCTTAGTGATAGTAACACCTTCCCAAGGACATCTTCTGCTAAGAGCATTAGGACACCTCTTAAGAGAAGCCTATATCATCCCTGCTTCAGGGCAACTTAGGCTCCGAGAAGTGACTGGCATAGGGTCATGTGGCTGATGTGGCTCTGTTGCTCTGAGTTTTTGGACTCTAAACCCAGTGCTCCTTCAATTACATCCCAGGAGAGAGGGAGAGAGAACTCTGAAAACAGACAAACCCTGGGGGGAGGGCAGGACACAGTGGGACAGGAGAGGACAATAAAACTGCAGGGCAATTTAAGGCTATGTGAAATAGGCACAGAGAAGTGTTCTAAGAATGGGGCACACAGAGAAGGGTGTTTGGGGGAAGGGGGGGACATGAGATCGTAAGATCTGGGGAAGAGCTGGGTGCACAGAGAGTTAAGGGATGAGGGACATGACAGAGACAGAGATAAGACACAGGGGAGTAGGGATATATGAGGAGGGAGGGGCTGTGGATCTGCGAAGGGGAAACCCAGCGGCGGAGGGGGCTCTAAAGAGGGGAAAGGTCCCCAGAAGTGCCTCCCGGTCCCTGGAGGCAGACGCTCAATCCCACGGACCTGACGGGCCCCAGCCCTGAGTCCTCCCATCCCTGCCTTCAGGACTGGGCCTCACCCGTGGTCAGTGTGATCCAGAAGAGGCAGGCCCACGGTGAGTGTGCAGTGCGGCAGTGCCCAAGCGTGGGGGACAGGGTGGGGTGAGTGACGTGGCCGTGGAGAAGAGCAGTCCCAACAGCTGGAAGACACCCGTGGCCAGCAGCACGTGGCCACCGTAGACCAGCACAGGCCTGGACAGCATCACATCCGCCAGCAGCCAGCAGAGGAATGCCACCCTGGAGAGCCACGACCTGGGGAAGGCTGGCCCAGGCACCTCTACCTTGTTTGGGGTGAACTTCTACCTGGAGGGGCCCAGGTGGAGGCTCAGGGACCCAAGGACACCCCAAAGAGGTGAGGTAGGGATTCCTGCCTGTGGGCTTCCCAACCAAGCACCGTGGTGACTGGTGCCAGACTGTCCCACTAGGGGTCTCCACATGAGTGGGGGAGAGATGGGTAGGAACCCCACTCCTGGGTCTAGGCCAGCAGGGCCTCCGTCCCACCCTCACCACAGTGTGGCCGAGGTGTAGTGTCCCGCCAGGCGGTACTGGCCATGCAGGCCACACGGACTGTGTGGGGTGAACTTCTCGGCCAGGTAGAGCACGGGGTCTGGCAGCCCCTTCTCCAGGGCCTTGGCATACTCCTCGGCGTAGTTCTCCCTCAGGCGCCAGGTGAACTCCTCGTTCTAATAGCCGGTCTCGTTCAGCTGCTGCACTGGGGTCCCTGGGGAATGGAGCAGCTGTGCTCATCAGGGACCCGAGGGTCAGAGTGGGTATTTACCTGGGCAGAGGTTTATCACACTGGAAGAGGGCCAGGCTCTGGTCTCAAGTGAGAGAAGGCAGCTTCTGAGGCCTGAGAACCTCCCTTCCTACCTCCCCCGGCCCGGATCCTAGAGCTCTTTAGACCACACCCAACATAGATCCCAAAGCCGCAGAGCAGAGGCTTTCCCTTCCTCCCAGGCAAGAGCCCTCCCTCACCTGTGAGCGTGATGTTGACTCCTCCCAGCCCAATCTGCAGCCCAACAGCGGTGCTGATGCATTCGGAACTGAAGGCCTTGTATGATGTGTTGGTGCTGACCTGGCCCACAGACCACTCAGAACTGAAATTCACGGCTGGGGTTGGGGAGTTTGATGTTCAGGAACTCAGGGAGGTCTGGGCATTGCTGGGTTAGTCAGAGGGAGAGCTGCAAGGGGACCATGTCAGTTTTGCTCATAGTTGTGTATCCAGTAACCCGCCTAGGGCCTGGCTCATAGTAAGTTTGCCAACAATAGGTATGGGATGAATAAATGGGTCAGAATCTAATATCTCCCCTGGTCATAATCCTCTCCCCCTGTCCTCCCTTCCTGCCCCCATATAGGGAGAGCTACTCAAGCAGCTGGGGCAGGAAACATTAACATAATAAACCATGCTGGGCAAACACAGAGAGCTTCAACACAGAGACTTTCTGTGCTTCCTATCGCCTAATCTCCAAAGCAAAGCAAGCAGCCCTCCACCATTCTCTCCCTCCAGCCTCCGTAGACCCTGTCCCCAAAGGCATTCATTTTGACCTGCTTTCCTCTGAATAAAAATGTTAGGAAGGTTGGAGAGATGCATCCAGGAGGCTTGCACCTGTCAGGGCAAAGGTAGATGTGAGGGGATAAGGCCAGGGTGAGGGAGGCGTGTGGGCAGGGAGGTCTAGAAGCCCACCCTGAAGCAGAGCCTCTGTGAGGGAGCCAGGATAGAAGAGATGGAATGCAGGCAGCTGCCCAAGTCAGCTGCACTCCACACTCACCCAGGATCACAGCTCCAATGAATAAGCTGGTCATTACTCGCAGGATCCAAAACAGCCTCTGCATCACAGGGTGGGTGGGTTTAGGAGGGAGCACCCTCCTTCCAAATCCAGCCTTTCTCCTTCCAGACTTGGGAAGGGTGTTCTAAAACTGAGGTCACTTGGTCACCAGAGATCAAAGTGCCTGGCCCATAATAGATACTCAGTAATTATCTGTTGAATCAATGAGCAGGGAGCTCTCTGCTGGGAGGGTGGGTGACGCTTTCTCGGGACTAGAATCTCTTTCCTGAATCTGATTGTAGTCAGAAAGTCTGGCCCCCTCACCCCGAGGCCGAGGTCTCTCTGGGGCTGGGGTCTCCAGGGCTGGTTTTGTTTCTCACCGTCTTGCCCCGAATGCCTGGCAGGATGATGATGAAGGTGACCAGTGAAGTCAGAAAGATGGCGATGATGACGGCCAAGGTGGTGACCATTGGGAAGTTCGGCTTGGGGCCAGCGTAGAAGGGGAATGTGTGTCCCAAAGCAGCCATTTTGGTGGGGTTGTTCAGAGGAGGCGGATGCTCTACAACAACAGTAGGTGTTTACTGAGTGCCCTCTATGTGCCACACACTGTTCTTGGGGCCAGAGACCCAGCAGAGAATAAACCAGACCCTTCTTCTCTGGTGCTCACCAGACGCCACTGTTACTGCCATTTCCGCTACCCCTCAGCCATCCATCTCCACATGTTTTTAGCTGTGAGAGAATAAGGGTCTTGGCAATCAGTCTCTGTCACTCCATGCTCCCTTGCTAACCCCCAGGTCCCCTAAACCAGTGCCACCACTACCCTCCAGGCTTCTCTGCTTCCTCTGGGACTGTCTTAAGAAATGTAATTCTCTTTTATCTCCCTCAGGCCTCCAGCACAAGCAGACGGATCACAGAACATAGAAAGAGCTATATTTTCTGTCAAGAGAAGGCATAAGGCTGAAAGATGGTACAGATTACAAAAAGGTTGGCTTTCCTCCTCACTCCCCAAAGAACAAAGGCAAGATAGCTCTGCTAAGTATATAATCCAACTACATCATCAGAGGGCTGATTCTCAGACCTGGCACTGCCCGGGCTGGTCTGACAAGCTTTCTCGGGCACCCTGGCTCCTGTTCTGGCAACTCGAGAGCAATAGAGCTGAACTGAGCTCACCTCAATGGGCACTGAAGGAGCCTGCCCTCCACTAGGGCACAGTGCTGAGGCCAGATGTCCTTCTACCCCACACATCATCAACAGCAGCCTTCCTCCTTGATTTAAATTCCTAGGCTTCATTTCAGGTCAAACCCTGGCTTACCTCGTTTCTGTCTGTCCCCTGATCTCAGAGCTATTTTGGCTCTAGTTTGTCTCTTTGCAGACAGGATATTGGGGAAATGGCACCTAAATTTACTGTGCTTTGTTAAATCCAGACAGAATGATTGCAAGACATGCTATTATTTTAAGTACCACAAAGAAAGAAAGAGGAAAAAACACTGCCAATTAAACAATGACAGCCATCGCTGGTAAAACACACCTCAACTTCAGAGATGTCAAAATGTGAAAAAAAAAAATGCATCTTACAATCAACGAACCCAGCTCTGCTCATTTCCCTGTATATAATCTGTACTGGGGCCTTGGTAACCAGGAAGCTCTGTAAGTTACAGTCTGACCAGGTAATGTCTTGTTAAGTGATACGGTGAAAGAATAAGCTTAGAAGTTAGTAGCTCTGTGTTTGAATTCTGCCTTTGCCTCTTCAAGTTACAGAGACTTGGGCGTATTTTAAAAATAGGGATGATGATGATAATGTTTACTTCATAGGGTCATTGTGAATATGAAACAAGATTGTGTCTGTAAAGTGTTAAGAATAGTACCTGGAACAGAATAATATTAATAAATGGAAGCTACCAGATTGGGAAGGAGGGGACATTTCATTACTCCATTGATCTCTTTCACCAATCCTTCTTGGTGGGAACCCTGGGCAGGAATCAGTTCTGGGTCTAGTTCCAGTTCTTCACTGACTGATTTTTTTTTTCTTTTCTTTTTTAATTTTTTTTGGCCATACTGCACGGCGTGTGGGATCTAGGTTCCCAGAGCAGGGATTGAACCTGCACCCCTGCATTGGCATCCTGGGGTCTTAACCATTGGACTGACAGGAAAGTCCCATTCACTGACTGATTTTATAACTGGACAGGCAAATGAGAACCTCCCTGTTTCTTGGCTTCCTCCTCTGCAGTTGGATATGATGATCTCCAGGACCCATTCTAGTTCTAAATTCTGTGATTCTCTATGACACATCGTAGCTCCCAACCTCTCTCTCTCCTTCTAGGCTGGCCACCTCCTGGTGCTGTCTCTGGGGAGTAGCATGGTATCAGGCAGAGACAAAGAGACAGTTTAAACATTTAATTCTGTCTTTGGGGCAAGTGAAATAAACGCTGTCTCAGTTTTAACATGAAGTTTTGCTTTTTTCCCTTATCTCTTCAACTCTCCCATTCCAGAGGAATGTGTATCTCCTTTCTTCTTGGGCTCTGACTCTAATCCTGCCTGCCTTCACCACCACCTTTCTCATCAGTTCTCCCCCTTTCTCTTGGTGACTTTTCAGCTTCTCTTTCTCTGCTGGCTCTTTCTCTCAAGGATATGCTTACATTTCTCCCATCTTAAGAACACAAAGAAAAGGAACTCTTTCTCTTGACCTTTTGGGTCCCCTCCAGCTACTATCTTATGCCACTCTCTCCCTTTCACAGCCAGGCTTTTGGGAAGAATAGTCTATGTATGTCCACTGCCTTATTTCCTCAGTGAATCTGGCTTCTTCCCACCCCCAACTTCTCTCCTTTAGGTTACCAAGCGCTAAATCTAAAGGGAAATTTTCACTTTTCATCATTCTTGATCTCTCTGTAGTAATTCCTCTTTCTTCAGGCTTCCTCCCTGGCCCTCCAAGACACCATGTTCTCCTGGGCCTCCTGCCTTTGGCCAACCCTTCTGTGGCTCCTTTGCTAGTTCTTTCTCTCCTCTTAAACATTTATGCTCCCTAGGATTCTGTCTTGACTCTCTTCTTCCAGCACTCTTCATGATTCCCTCAGCAAGTTCATCCATTCCCATGGCTGATGCTTCTCAAATCTATGTCTCCACATAGACCCCCTACTTGGGCTCCAAACACAAAAGGGCCAGCTATCCTCTGGACATTTCACTTGGCTGTTCCAAGGATGCCTTGGATTTAACAGGTCCCAAACTGAATTCACGGTCTCCACTCTGCTTTTTCTTCTGTTTTATTTGCCTCTTTGGTGGCATCACCACCTCATCAATCAAATAAGCCAGAGAGCTGAACCATCTTACCTCCTAAATATTTCTTGAAACCACCCAGGCATTTCCTTCCCGACTGCCTCTGGCCCTAATTCAGCCTCATCCTGTCTGGCCCGGTGCCACAACAATTCTTCTAACAAGCAAATATAAGCATTTCACTTCTTTGCTCTGGGTTAAATCTAATCTTCTCACCATCACATGCAAAGTCCTTTGTGATCTGGTCCCACCTGCACTTCCATCTCCATCTTTTGTGCCATCTAATCTCTAGCCATACTAAACTACTGGCCTCTCCCTGAATCTGACACGCTCTTTCAAGCCTTCGTGCCTTTGTATATGCTATTTCCTCTGTCTGGAATATGCTCTTACTCCCATGGCAAGCTCTTCACCCATCAAGTCTCAGCTTGTGTTACCACCTCTGTGAAGTTTCCTCTGACGTCATCAGGCTAGTGCAGATGTTCCCGCCTCTAACGTTCTGACTGCATTTTGAACATACCTTCACAGGCACAATAATTACACTGCACTCTAACTGTTTGAACGTTTAGAACCCATTAGCTTCTAATCTCCTAAAGGGCAACGACTTTGCCTTTCCATCTTTGCATACGCTGCATGCAGCATATACTTACCAATCAGTCTGTGGATGGAATGGATGAATATATGAATGAACGGGTCCCTATTCCTGCGAGAGGCATCTTCTGTTTTGCACACAAGAGGGAGCTGTGCTCCCTCACTGCCCTCTATCATAATCATTCAACATTAACTATCACCAACATAGGGCTAAGGACTGGACAGGGAGGGATTTGACCAACCCTGTCCATTTTTAGTGCTTTCACAAAATTTTCAGAAAGCCTCTTCCAACAGTTGGAGTCTCCAAAGCATGAATGTTCATGTTTAATTGAATCTGAAACATAAATTTCAACTCCAGCTGAAGATAATTAAGAATCTGAGGATTAAATTATTTTGTAAAATATGTGATAGTGATACTTATCTTTTTAATATTTATTTTATTTTATTATTTATTTATTTATTTGGCTGCTCTGGGTCTTAGTTGCGGCATGTGGGATCTTTTTAGTTGCAGCATGCAGGCTCTTAGTTGCAGCATGCATGTGGGATCTAGTTCCCTGACCAGGCATCAAACCCGGGCCCCCTGCATTGGGAGCGTGGAGTCGTAACCACTGGACCACCAAGGAAGTCCCACTGATACTTATTTTAAAGCAGATATTTATTGGTCTAAGAATTTTTTATTTATGACACCTAGACTGAAGCCGTTACAATTTTGATGGAAGGCTATATGATTTAGGAAAGGCTATAAAATGTAGACTATCTTGGTTAATATAGGAAGATAAAGCAAGTCTGAATACATAGTATTCAAGTAAGAGTAAATGTTATATGCTGGAATTTCAAAACCAAATATTTGCAACATAGGCAAATAATAAAGGTGCAATGTATTTTGATCAGGGTCATGTATTAGCATTCTTCCTGCATTTATTTCAAAGAGAGGTTATAAAATATTTTATAAAAATGGCTCATCTCTATTAACATGATGATTCAAAGAAACACTAACAAAAGGGTTTCTGTATCTTAAGTACAGAAGAACATGTTAACTTATCTCCAATTCTCCAAAACAGTAAAATTGACTAAAGCAAAAAGACAGTTGGTGAATAAAACTTACCTTAATTCCTTCTTGTTCAGTTTAATGAATTAGGTCTTCTTTAATCTACATTGCCCAATTTAAAGTTAATTTTTATTGACCCTGATCCTAATTTGGTTTTAATTATTAAGCTAAGAGGCCTCCTGCATGAAGAGGTGGGACTGAAATGAAAAGTTCCCACACCCAATAATCCTGCTTTTCCTACAAAGCTTGTAGTTTCCCTTGGGAACATCTTCGTCCCTGGCTTGCCAAGGAGGGTCTGACAGTAGAATTTTTCTAATCTGAGAGAAATCTCATGTCAATCTGCACTCCACCACTTCTCCCCTAGCTGACTACCATGATTGTTATATTGATATAAATATATACTAATATAAATAGGCACAGGATACAGTCAGACATACACCTGTAGGTTCATATAAACAGAAATACAGACACAAGAAGGAAGGAGTTCCCAGTAACAGACCTCTAGACACAAAAATGCTGCATCAGAGGCTCCTGTGACAAAACTGAGGTGCTTTCTCACAGGCTGGGCCAATCCCTACACTTTGGGGGTTCTCCTTTCTCACCCGGCCTGGAGAAGTAAGGGACACCTTTTCCCTTTCTGAACTCCCTTGAAATACTAAAGCATTTCTCATACTCAGTTGCATTTCAGATACAGTTACCCATTCCTTAGCTACCACAGGAGAAGTGGGGTTCCTGTGTGTGTATGAGGGATGGCCAAGAAATAAAGCTACAATCTTTTAAGGAAATATAGCCTAGTACAAGCTCCAGGCTTCAGCATTCAAAGTCCTTATGTACTTTCTTAATGCTCTGTGGCCTCTGGTAACTTCACAGGGATTTCTTCCTCAAGTCTTCCCCTGACTGCCTTCCCCTTCTTCTAGAACCCATAAAGACTACTAATTCTCTACAAAGGGGGAGTGGGTGACATTCCTGGAGTTGCCAAGAGCTCTTATTGGTGATACAGACCTACTAGAATGTGATGGTTTATTTCTCTGGTTAGGGTGGACCCCATTCAAAGTTTACGGCTCTGGATGGCTAAGGGGACCCTGTCCAGAACTCCTGTCCCAGTCTCTTTTCTTCAAGAAGGTGTGTGGGCATGTGTATGTGTGCTTTTGCACCAAAGTAGGAGTTAAGTGGAGAAAGAGAACAAGATCTGAAAAGCGCGTTGGGGCAGGAATCCCTAATAAGGGCTGTGGTGTGTGAGGAGCCTTGGGGTGCTGAATCACGCCAGTCAAACTATCTAGACTCCAGTTAAGCAGAGATAAACCTTGGGACCTTATTAAGTTTTTTTTTGTTGTTGTTGTTGTTTGTTTGCCTGTTCTTAGTTTCTCACCATACTTTGTTTTTGAACTCCCACTAGATCCGAACTTGGTCTGGGCGGATGCAGGAAGTGCGCCTCTAGGGGCCGGGGCGGGGACAACACTTCAAGGTATCCTCCAAAACCCACCCGGACCGCACAGACTCCAGCAGGCGCATCCCCGCCACTCAAACCCGGACCGCTGTTTCCTACCTTCGCCTCTTCTAAACACTGCGTGCCTCGCAGCACGCGCAGCTCTCCTCCTCGTGGTGGAACCTCACACGCAGCGCTCCCAGGGATGGGATAGAGAAGGAACCACGTCTGGACGTTCTGTCGCCCAAAGCGCACGCCCTTTCTCCTGGCGGGGCTCTCTTCCAACCCCCACTCCTCTAACTCACTTAAGTACTAGACTATGACCAGCCAAACCGGGTCCGGGTTGCTTTCCCTCCCTTCCCCCAGCCCCCAACTCCAAGTAGCCTCAACCTACTCAGACCGCACCCAAGGCTTCTGAGGCGCTGCGCCCGCCCCCACCCAGCCTGGGACAGAAAAAGGACGGGTGCACGAGAACCGTGTCCTACGCAGCCATCGCTCGGACCCCTGCTTCTCCTCGCCCCTTGCCCACAACCCCGGGCAGTTCTAGCACAAACCTAGCGATGCAATCCGGGTTCCGGCAGGGCGCGGGAGGCGCTCGAGGGCGGTGAGACCCCCGAGATCTCACGAGGACCTCCGGGGGGTGGGTGTTACCACGGACTCTTAAAGGGTCTTAGGACGGATGCCTTGCTCGAACGCGTGGCCTGGTCTGCAGGCGTTGACCGATCCTCTTGGTCTTAAAGCCCAGATCCGCCCGCGTGGAGAGGATTTGGGGGGCGCCTCTCCCGTCCCCTCGCACCCTCTCCCCCTCTTCTGCCTTCTCCCCAGCCCCAGCAGACCGGTAGAGGTGGACTTGCCCTTTTCGCCGTTCACTCGGCTGCATTAGCCGAGCCTCGCCACGGACTGGACATCTACCCCAGCTGAGCCTTGCGAGCTCGTGCGGTCTCACCTTGCGCGCCCGGGTCCCCTCGGAGCCCCTCGGCGGTTCCCGGCGCCCCCGCTTTTTTCCGCTCCACCCCGCCCCGCCCTGCCTGAGAACTGGGACGTGCTGTCCCTTCTTCACCCCCCAGACCCGCCAGCCCCGGCGCAGAGCTGGAGAGGGAGCCGGACCCGAGCGCAAGTCGCGGGCCCAGCTGTGAGCCCGGCGGGAGACAATCCGCCGTCCGCGCTCGAGAGACGCCGCGGCCGCAGGTCAGACCCAGGAGGGCATCCCCAGTCCGCGGGCCCGGGCCCTCCGGGGAAGGTGACTGCGGTGGCATGTGCCCCAGCGCCGAGGGAAGGGGAATTCTAGCTTTGGCCCCCCTGCGCCTCCGTTCTTAACCTGAGGCTAAAATGAGCCTGTGAGGTCCTATTCCCCCCGCACCACCACCCCCACCGCCCCCGGGCCCAACGACGGTTTGGAGAGACTGGATTCTTTGGGAACTGGGAATGTTGGGTGGCCTAGTTTGCCTGGGCCTAGGGGCTCTCTCTGGAGCTCCTCCTGGTACCAGCACATCATGCCAGAAAGGGAACTTTGGGCATTTAGAGTCCAGGCTTTTCCCTTCAGCCCTCCCTTGGGACCACGTTGGACTACCTACGGAGCTGACGCATCTTTTCCCTAGCCCAGGGTCACCACACTAGGACTTTGGGCCTGGAGAGCAGCCATGTGGGGAAAGAACCAGGCAACCTGTGCTCCCTCCTGGTTCTACCACAGCCCCAGGGGCTTCACTGCCCTGTCATGAGGCTGTGCTTTCCTTTCAAGGCTGTTGGGAAGTTACGGAACCAGCGATGCTGCGTAAGTGGTTGTGGCTACCCACCCAAAAGGAGTGGTTATGAAGCATGTCCACCTTCCCCTTCAGTTTCTCCCCACAGCCTGGCCTGAAAGCTCACCTCATGCTTTTACTTGTTGAGTGGTGCACCTGGCCTGGGGCCCAGACTCCTGAAGACATAGTGGTGGGGGGAAGGGGCAAGACATCCTGGATCAGGGAAGGACCACTGTGGCCACTTCAGCATGTCCAGCCTTTTGCCTTTAACCATCCAAAGCCCTTCACTGGGGTGGGGTGGGTGGAATGCTGAGCTTTTGAATTACGCTGGGCCGACATTTTTTTTTTTTTTTTTTTTTGCAGTACGCGG